CTCAACATCACAAAGAACTCACTCTGATAATAAAAAAAATCCACGCTCTGCTATAAGTCGACGCGTAAATATCAAGAATCGAAATATCTTTTTAATTTATCGTAATATAACAAATGTTCAAATGAGCGCTCCATTCGTTAATCCCATTGGTTTAAATCTTTACGAGTAGGATACGTTATGCTACTTGCACGGAGTCGAATCACCCTCATTTCCTCGATGTTCCAAATCTAAGGTTTCTGCTCAGACAGCTTTTTCCCCCACTAATGCTTCTCTGAATACTTTAATCTCAACTTCTTCAAGTCAAGTGTCAATCGTTATCTTTCCTCGTTATCATCATAATCTCTACTTCTACTACCACCGCTTCACTCCTATATCTCACGATTACAATTCCAACTGTAAATTTCTGCCTTGAGTGACTCTCGGATCTTGTATTGTATGGAATTTAGTAAAAAAAAAAAACAGAAAGATAAAATGTCCAGTATGTCTGTTGGAGCCGCAAAGCCATATGCGACCAGAGCCGTCTTTAAAGTTTAATACTCGATACAGTAGTCGAATATTCATCAAAACTGAAACCTCTTCGGCAGTATATCCTATGTACTATAAAACGGGGCTCTTGTACAAAATATATATTTACAATGCACTGAAGGTCATGAATGAGTTTAGGCCCTTTCGATTTGCTGCTCCTCGGCCTCTGTGTTACTTGATGGTACTCTGGCTGGTCACATTCATTGCTCAAACATCAAACTAATAATGATCCATCATCACTGAGAGAAGCCTGAACGAGTGTTTTCTCGGAGATTCTCCGTACTTTGAGCGCCTATTGGAACTCACCCCTAGACCTTAAGTGGATCTCGTTTCATGCGATCCATTGCTCATGTTGTTGGGAAAATGGACAGTTCTCTGTATCGCTTCAATAAGTACCTGGATGTTTCTGCTATATTCTACCTTCACAGATGACGACATCATGCCGACAATGGAGTATTGATGCCATATATGTGCTGCCTAATCATCACTTCCTAGTTCAAAATCATCTACGCGGTCTTGTGGGGCTTTTACCTAACAAGAGCTTTTCCCATAGATGAAACGTTGCAAACCTCTACACCCTTTTGCAAATTAATTGGAAAAAAAGACCCGAATAATTCCATTATTATTTACTCTTTTTTCGTATTTTCCAATGAAACATGACCCACTGCACATGTTAGTACTTCGTATGCCCATTCTACGATGTCGTTCCTTGCAGATTGACCACAGATTCTCCATTAGATTTAAATCAAGTGGGTTTTCGTGCCAGTCTATAGTACTTTGATTTGTTCACTGGTGAGGACTGTCAGTGTGTTCGTGTAGCGTTAAAATTTTCTTACACTTTCTTGGAGTAACGTCCACTGCAGACAATGGTCATAGGACAACTAATCGACAGTTGAGACAATAGTGATGAAAATCTGATGCAATCACGGATGATGCAATATTTGTCAAGGCCAAAGAAATTTCATCATAGACCCCGAAAATAGATTCATATTACTGCACACAACTTTAAATGACCTAATCTGAGGAAAAAATAGAATTTGATTCCAACCTGTCACTCCATTGAGGTTAAAACTGTCCGTATGGTTAAGGAAAGGAAACTAAAACGGTTGTTTGAATTAATTTGCGCAAGGGCTTCATGCCTGTGAATTTTTTAACTTTATTTTTATTCTAGGGGTAGTGTAATGATTATCGACGAGAAAAGTTAAAGTGGCGAGGTGAGTTCAATTCTCGTTCGATTGTTTCGTTCGCTTCGTGACATTTCAAAAAGATAAAAATCCACCTACCCACAAGCTATGGATTAAATATAGACCAGAAACCAGTGTAAGAGATGAAAACTTCTGAATTCCAAATCAACTTAAAGAGGAATGGTCTCCGTCAGGATATCTTACCTTAGACCATCGCAGCCACGGCATATGTGGTTGAGCTACGGAATTTGTAACGTGACCTTAATTCGAGAACTTTCATCTTTTCTTTTAAAAGAAGCACCTCACGACTTCTCTTTCAGAGATCAGTTTCAAACAATTAAATCGTACTTATGAATTATTTTCGGAGTTGACCACGAAAAGCATAGAAAAAAGTGAACCATTGTATCCTATAAACTTTTGTTTATTCCAACTTCAATGTGGCAAACACGGCTCTCCACAACTTTCTTTTGTTGCAATCGGTATCGTTTGATCATTTACGATCTTTCTTTATCCTTGTTTTGTCACTCATTCACACACACACACACACACACATACACACACACACACACACACACACACACACACACACACACACACACACACACACACACACACACACACACACACACACACACACACACACACACACACACACACACACACACACACACACACACACACACACACACACACACACACACACACACACACACACACACACACACACACACACACACACACACACACACACACACACACACACACACACACACACACACACACACACACACACACACACACACACACACACACACACACACACACACACACACACACACACACACACACACACACACACACACACACACACACACACACACACACACACACACACACTCCTTAAGTCAGTGCATCTCAAGCTATCTGATATGGCGGACCGGCATTTCTTTTTCTCAATGTGTCACGTGCTTGTAATATTTCGTGGTTAATATTAATTTATACCGGAAACGATATATATAGTGAATATAATAAAGGTTGACTATTTTTCATCTTCCATTTATTTCGCAAAAAATAATTCAATATCAAAACATATAAAAAGTAATAAAAATAAGCAGTTTATTAAGACAAAAACAAAAATTATATGACCTTAATCTTTATAAATGATGCTGGGCATGGTCTGGACACTGGCTATGTACCGGTAGCTGATGGTTCGCGTACCGGCACCGATCCGTGGACCACCATTTTGAGTAGCACTGCCTTAAGGTACATGATATTTCTCCATGCTTCTCTTTGACTTCAAGAGGCTCACTTTCCCCATTGTGTGTCCAAGAATATGCCTACTGTCTCTTATTGACCGTTCCCTACCGGGAGTAGTAGAATTAACTTTCACGTTTTTAAGAACTTTAGTCCCTTATTGCAATAACATCAATTTAAAACTATTTTATAATTCATTCAGAATGTTTTAAAAGTAAAACCACAAGTAAATGAATTCTTATGTATATCGATTGGAACTTAATGGACTTTTGCGGCCCGTTCTTTAAATTAACGAAGATTTTGCATAAAGTTGGCCTGATGCTTTGTTTACTTATTTTCTTAATTTTTCATTTCTGACTCTTTTGATGGTTACGGATTATAAATTCTTCAATTTTATTTTCAAATAAAGAAATTCTTTCGCAAATTTAAACTCCATTTCCTAAAATTATAACATTGCCAATTAAAAACACAAATTTTCATAGATTTTTTTTTCGCTTTTCAAACTTGTGCGTTTGATTCTTCAAATTTATCTTATTCGAATTTCTACTTTCGATCAATTATACTGCATTAAATGGATAACCGGCGCGTATCTTCAGTGGTAATACCTTTGTAGAGAAGTGGTCGACCCTGCTTCATTCAGGTGAATTGGGATGCGGAACTTTATTGGTCACCTGCCTACGTCCAACTCACACACATGGCTCCAAGAAATCGTATGGTCACTGCGACGGCCACACCCCGGTCAAGACTAGATTGTGTGAGGATAGCTGGAAGGGTTTCTCGACCCGACCGGTGAAGGGGAACAACTCCACCCAATCCATCTGTGCAAAGTGGCCATTTGCTGGTTACCAGTTTAGACGTAGGAGACGCACTTCTGAGGATTTACCAGTAGGCGGAGGAACTTCTGAAAGGAGGGCCGAGGGTAACCTCAACATCCCCAATGCAAAAGAAATGGGGGAGTGGTGACCAGTGCGACTCTAACTGCGCTAACTTAATATTGGAATGAAATAGCTAAATGTCGTATTCGTGTGTGACTTTTTGTTTGTGTCTTCAAATATTGGGGTTTATTCAAAGTTTTATTTTTAAAAAAAAAAAGGTGTTTTATCGCTTTCAATTTATTATAAACCCCAATCTATATGTTAAAATAGACGTTGCTAAAGATTTTAGACATTCAACTCTTACAACGTATCAATCAAAGAATGTAATCATCAGCTTCTATGACTCGGCCAGAAGAACCAAATTCTGCCAATTTTCCCAGGAGAATCTCGTCCTTGGTATGAAGATAAACTACATCCAAGGCCTCTGATCGGGAAGTTTTAAGGAGCGTTGAACCACCTCTTAATTGCTATTATTCCCAGGTCCACTCTGACCCGGGTTGGTCGCACCCGTTAGGGACAAATCTATGGTATAAGAAAACTATGGAAGCATAACAATAGGTTTTTATAGTAAAAATATTCGCAATACATTTTTGAAAAAAATATTACCAGCAATAAATTTTTGAAAAACGAAAAAATATTGCCAGCAATATATTTTGGAAAAATATATTGCCAGCAATAAATTTAACTCATGACAAAACAAAAACTAAAATAAAATAAAAATAAAAAAAACCTCTTTACAAAAATACGTCAATTTCATCTGATATACAAATTGGTTTCTTACAAAGAATACACATTCTATTCATACGAACCTATCTTTAAAATTTTGTTGATATTAAATAACTCATTGAGGTTGATAGTCCGTAAAGCAAAATAAACGAAACCAAACGCAATAGAAATAGTTCTTCGATAGTTCGTGTTCTGCTAGTAATTACGCATTTCCCATCTCCAAAACGGAACGGTCGGAATCTCCACCTAGAATTTGTTTATCAGCTTCTGTACGAGAGGCAGTGGGTTATTTATAGTGAATTCACACTTCAATTTGGAAAACATGCAAAGAGAGAATTCGATTTCCACGTGCAATTTCGCTTAAGAACTAATCACAACTTTCCACCCTCTGCAGCAGTCTTTTGACAGAGAATGCCAGCCTTTCATTCTGCGGCTCACGGCCACATCACGTTGAAACAAAGGTTCCCGTACGATCAACGAAGTTAAGCAACGTCAAGCCTGATCGGTATCTGGATGGGTGACTACTTGAGAATACCAGGTGCTGTAAATTCGCGAGTGCAGGTTGTGTAATGGATAATGGTTCAGAATTGTTAATAGGAGAGCCGAGTTCCAATTCCGGCTGGGTTCGTTATATTCAGTTACGCGTAAATACCCTTGGGAAAGGTACGAATCGACCTCTTCTCCTTTAGCTATAGTTTAATTAATAAGACTAAACCACTATCTCAAAAAAAATTCTTACAATCTAAAAATATTTTCTGGCTTTAAATAACCTTCAAAAGGCTGATAAGCCGTAGAAAATGAATCAATCAAATATTAGTGGCGCAATTGTGTTTTGGGATTTATTTACATTCTCTGGTATAAAAATTACAATGGTCACAAAATGAGGGATTAGTTTGTATGTTGATTGTAATATAGAATTGATCCCCCTCTTTATATCCACATTACTTTTTGTTTATCAAATTTTGATTAGGTATTTCCCCCAGCTATGGTTTAACTAGTAAAACTTGTATCACTAAATCATTATTATATCCCCCTTCCCCAACTCCCCAAATTCTTACAAACTTCAAATATTTTCTGACTTTAAATAACCTGCAAAGGGTTGATAAGCTATAAAAAATGAATCAATCAAATCAAATGATTGTTAAGGGTTTGTACGTTTACAGAAAGCAAAAAGACAGTGGTTTTCACAAAATGTGAACCTAGTGCTTGCACAAAAACGAATTCTCTATCTACAGATGCTTTTTCTCTATCTGGTGGAATATGAAAAGTGCTGACCATTAAAAGCTACTGGAATATGGAAGGGTTATCACTGTGCGGCAAACGAAGCGCTATATCGAAAGTCGTAAAAGTGTTACAGCACGATAACGCAAGGGCATGCTCTGCAAAAGAAACCCAAGAAAAAATAAGATTGTTACGTGGGGTGGGGTATTCCACGTCCCCCCACCCAGACGCACTAGATTTAGCACCTAGAAATGTTCATTTTTTTCTATTTTTTTTAATCATTTCACCTTAAGCAAGGTGATAAAGCCACTAAGACGCAAGAAAAACCTCCTGAGAGTGGAAGAGAATGCGAAGAATGTGATGATGGACCGGAAACCTAATCCAAAACCGGAAACAAGGGATAAACCTCTACTCCTGTTCAAAAGACGGGGAAGGAGTGTGAATGGAGAATAGGCAAACCTAACAACTCCTCATAAAAAATAAGTTGCAGAACATCCCAAAACATAAAAGGTGACAAAGACGTCGAATTGAAAATTTGCCATAACCTTGGACTACTTTCAAAATGAATGTTTTGTTAAATAATATTTAAATGAATTTAACATACATTTCTTTTTACAACCAATCATATAAGACGTAATTGCTTTCTGAACAGCTGAATATTTTAAACAATAAGAATCGAAAAGCTGTATTCAATATCGATTTCAAATTGATTATAATATGCGCATATCTGCGATAACGCCATTGTCGCTAAAAACTGAGCAATCATATTAGAGATCGTAGAATATGTCAAGACATAAGCTGATATCATTTATTCATCAACGGTATATGTAAAAAACATAGGTGAATATACACCCTTGTGCAAATTAATTGAAACAACCGCTTCAGTTTTCCTTTCTTCCATTATACGATCAGTTTTAGATCCACTGCAGTGACAGGGTGGAATCGATTTCTATTTTTTCCTTAGATGCAATTTAATGGTATAAAACATTTGCGAGGCCAAATTATAATACAATTCATTGGCAATATAAATTCTATAGTAAAAATCATTGGCGATATATTTCCTATATTTAGAGTCATTAACAAAAGTAAAAATTATTTGCAATGCATTTTTATGGTATAAAACACTTATAATAGAATTCATTAACAACGTAATTCCTATATTAAAATCATTGGCAACGTCATTCCTTAGATAAAAATCATTGCCAATGCATTTTTTTATAGTATAAAATATTTGTAAGCCAAAATTTTAATAGAAATCATTGACAAATCTTACCAGAAAATCATTGACAACGAAATACTACACCATTGTGAAAATTAATTCAAACAACCGCTTTAGTTTACCTTTTTTTCACCATATTGTCAGTTTTAGACCCACTGGAATGACAGGGTGTAATTGAATCGTATTTTCTCCTCAGATTAGGTCATTCGCATTCATGTGCTGTAATATGAATCTATTTTCGGGGTCTATGATGAAATTTGTTTGGCCTTGAAAAATATTGCGTCATCCGTGATTGCATCAGATTTTTATCACGCCCAGACACTATTGTCTCGACTGTCGATTAGTTACCCTACGGTCATTGTCTACCATGGACGTTACTCCAAGGATGTTTACGAAAATTGTGACTGCATGAACACACTGGCAAGCCTCACCAGTGAGCATATCAAAGTAATATAGACGATCCCGAAAACCCTACAGTTTTAAATCCAGTCGAGGATCTGTGGTCACTTATTGCAGCGATACAGGGAACTGTCCATTTTCCCAACAACATGAGCAATGGATCGCATGAAACGAGATCCACTTAAGGTCTGGGGTGAGTTCCAATAGGCGCTCAAAGTACGGAACATCTCCGAGAAAACACTCGTTCAGGCTTCTCTCAGTGATGATGGATCATTATTAGTTTGATGCTTGAGCAATGAATGTGACCAACCAGAGGAGAGTTCAATTGCTAGACTCTGGTCATCTAGAATTTTTGGGGAAAAATACGAAAAAATTAAATAATAACGGAATTATTCGTTTTGTTTCAATTAATTTGCACGAAAGCGTAATTTATAACATTTGTCAAGTTTCGCTAGCAAAATTAATTAAACTTAAATCTTATAAAATGAAAATCGCTTGATTGCTAGATTTGATAAAGAAGTCACGTTTTTTTCATATATTTTTGTACTTTTGTTTTAATATATGAACCATCTCTTATTCGAAAAATCATTCCTAGTCCTTCTGTTATATTTAATCATCACACAACTTTCCACAAAATGGTATTTTAAATCCATTGAGAGTGTTAGAGTGCTTGAAGAAGCAAAAAAAGAAACATAAGAGAATTCGAAGGTCTACGGAACACTTCCGGCTACAACCATCTTTCCAAAAACTGGCCAAATAACTACACTCCATAATTTTGTCATTCCAAAGAGTAAACGAAGGCAAATAAAAAAGAAAGAAAGAAAAGAGGATTATTAAGCGCTGTCCACATTATTAAATTTAAGGTTCCTTTATCGAATTGGCTCTCAGTCAAAATTTCTTTTTAATTAACAAAGCTATACTAACAATAGGACTTAATTTGTACAAACGGCGATGATGGGTATTTTTAATGTTATCGATTTAGCGGACAGCAATGAATGTCCCGCTAAAACAGGAGAGTCCCTGTAGTGTATTTTTAATTTCAGTCAAATAGAATGATTAGAGCTTCATAACATTTTTATATCATAAATATCGTTTGTATTTTGAACATTAGGTCGGATGTCCAATTTTAAGTTATTTAAGACTGAAATATGCACATTCATCTGTTGTTTAGAATATTTCAAAATAAATAATTTTTAGTTTAATGTGAGAAGCACAAACTCATCAGGTGTCGAGTGATTTTTAGAAATTATCTTTTGAAATAAATGAACAACAGGACTTTCATATTTTTTTATACATTTAGCCATGGTTAAAAAATTTCGGTTACCGTTCGTCCATAATCTCTCTCCAACTTGGTTGACAGGGGTAAAATAAATATTTAAGATACAATCCATAGCTTGCTATATTGCTTAGATGAGATTGGATGTAGATAACTATTTAATACTGTCGATATCCAAACTCTTCCATCTTAAATTATTATTATTATTATTATTGTTGTTGTTGTTGTTGATGTTGTTGTTTGTGTGTTGTTTCCTGCTTTGTATCCTGTAGATACGAGTCACAATTATGGTCCTTAGGCCCTATAGGAGAATTGTCATTTAATTGATAGCACTTTTCTTAGTATATGGGATGTTGCTATTAGGGCGATTTTTGGGCAACTTGTATGTTGATGTTACCTGGGACATTGTTAGTAAAATTGTCCATTCCTTTTCTCACGAGGCCCAGTGCTCCCATTACTATTGGTACAGTCTCAGTCTTCATTCCCCACATCCTGTTAATCTCGATCTCCAGGTCCTTGTATTTGACAATTTCTCGATAATTTTTATGGGGGTGTTTCTCTCAGATGGTACTGTCATGTCAATAAGCATACACTTCCTGAATGTCTTGTTTTTTATATTATTATTATTATCATTATTATTATGTTTTGTTACACCGTGTCATTTTTTTAATACACTGTGTACATTAAGTTATCTGTAAAATGAAACAAGAAACTCAGACAAGACTTTCCTGAAAATATGCCAAAAGTACCAAAAAGAACAGATATTTGGATAACTCAAAGTTAGTATGGTATCCCCAGTTAGTCAAAGAAGTCACAGAGTTTTAATGTCATCTTATTATTTCTTTTGATTTCTGGTGTAGACTCATTTCTTTCTGGGACCCAAACAGAGACCCAAGGTCAGAAATGGCATCATGAGATTTTCCACTGAGCATTTTTTGAGGAAAAAAAAACAAAAAAAAAACAAACTTAGATCCCGCACATTTTACATAGATAAAGCTCTTCATAATATGTGAGCTGTACTTGTGATTAGAATTTTTATATTTCTTTAAGGCATTGTCTGCCAGGAATCGTTTCAATGAGTCTAACGGAACCTTTTTCCAATCAATTCGAGGGCTCCAATTACGCAGAGATTATTAATGTCCTCATGTGCCCCATTTTTGAGATTTCGATTTCAAGGTCCTTGTATTTTGATAGTTTTTTGAAGATCTTCAAAGATACATTACAATCTGCAGGAATTGTTATGTCAATAGGAAAGCACATTCTGTTTTTGTGGTCTTTGATCGCGATGTCTGGGTGATTGGCTTTCATTGTTCTGTCTGTGTTTATTGTAAAATTCCATAAAATTGTTACAAGTCCTATGTCTGCAAATGGCTCTGGGTGGTAGTCATACCAATTTCTTGCAGTTTTTCAAGTGCATACATCGGCCCACTCT